ATTAAAATATCTTCGCGGTTAATTAACTGTATTCTTGCATGATTGACTATGCTAGGAAAATAATCAGGCGCCTTGCAAACGCCTAGATCTTCCTCCGTGTATGTGAACAGACACATTGGCACGTGCTTATTTCTTGCTTTTTCTTCTGGCGTTAATTTATCTAATCGTGGAGCTATTGCTGTAAAATTATCGAAGTTATATTTCAAGGGAACGCATATATTTTTTTATTAATTTTTCCCTCACCGTCCAGTAAACTTTTCTCGTCTATAAACGGTATGAGAACTACGCCCTCCCAATCTTGCTTTTTGCCATTTAAATCCGTCTGAAATTCCACTGGATAATAATTGAGTATAGGAGATTGCTCTTCCGTTAATAATGTTTGGAATGCTGAGGGTAATAAAGTTTTACTATAAGGTGGTAACGCAGCTAGGAGCTGCTCAAACGGTAAAAACGGTTCTCCTAACTCGAATTCCAGTTTCAAGTCTTTGAAATCCTTTATATCTGAGATATAAGGCGCGTAGTGGTGCGGATAGTACCACGACCAGCTACAACATCCATTATAATAATAATGTAAATTCCATTGAATAGCTCTGACATAGCCCTCAGCTTGTGAACGTAAAAAATCTCTAAAATGGAGAAAAATTGTAACATTTGAATTGTATTAATTTCTCCAAGTACACTTACTCATCTACATTTTCATATTTTAACTTGTTCTGGTAATAATCCTTCTTACGCTGAATAAATTCCATAGTATAAGTCTCACTATCTGTCTCATAATCTTCTTCCTCCTCATCTTCATCCCTTCCTATGTCCTATATTAAAAAGTATTAAATGAACCGCTAGAAATACTGATTCTCTAAGTACAGTCCTAAGTAAATACCATCTCAGCTACAGATCTAAGCAAAGCATCAAACTCTTTGTCTTGTACTGTCTTTGGAAACAGAATCTTGTCGTTGTTATCTGACTTCTTAAGCTGATTCAGCTTCTCAGTATCAGCAAGGGGGTTTCCAATTTTGCTCTCCAGGTACTTTATATCTGCATAATACTCGGAGAATTGCAATAGATCGAAACGGCTGAGCCTTTCCATAAATTTCTCGAATCTATCCAATCTTAGCGTTCCCGTTTCGTTTAAATAACCTGAAATAAATTAATAAATTCAAATAACTTCGAAAATATACTGTGCCACGTGTTTTCTTTATAGTAGATTATCTGACCATCTAACGTTGGTAATACATCCATATAGACTTGATATAATACAGAGAGTGCACCATGTGCAATATGTAAATTTGGCAGATGTGGTATAAAGTCGTTTCCTATAAGAAATCCCATTAAAACCCAGTCGTCAATTATCTTCTCAAGATCATACGGAAAAGGCAATTTTTCCCTTAATGAGGAAAACTCGTCATTTATGTAATCTCTCAACAGAGACAAATGAAACAAACAAAACTTTGTCTCTTCTGGTGTTATAAAAATTTTCGTTCGTTTTTTACCGAATTTCACTTCTTCTCTCAATAGTGTAAAATGTATTTCATGGGTGCATAAACCTAACATTATTAAATCTGCATCTAAACCATATAAACAATGCTTAGTATTTATATCATAATCTGGTTGTGCTTTCATGTAACGTATATAGTCCATTATTTTGTGTTCTCCTTCTCCAGGAACCTGGAACAAATTTTATTTGTTTTATATCCATTAAATTTGCTACAATAGTAGAAGTATTGAAGAATTGCATACCTGAGATCCACTAAATATAATTTTGCACTTTTGCCAAAATTTGTCAGTTGAAATTTTATAAGATATAAAATACTTTAAATAGTCATCAAGTTTGGCCATAAAAATAGTTCCTGGAGTAATACAATTAGAATCAAATTTTGGCTGTTCTGGTAAAATAACACCTTTAGCCTTCAATTTTGCCTCTTGAGTCTCTGCATATTTTGCAGATCTGAAACGTCTGCTTCTCTGATTATTAATTTTTGCGCGTGGTGCTACACCATCGATCGCTATAAAAAATAACTTCTGAGGCTGAATCATACGAAACAATAGTTCAAGATAACAAAATATATTCTTAAATATATTTTCCTCTGTGATGCGAAACAGAATGTCCTCATCAGGATGTGAACATGAGTGTATGATACCATTCACATCCAAATATAAATTATCAAATTCGGGTATCTGCAAACAATGATACACTTGTTATTTTCCTGTGTATTGGCAGTTAGGAAAAATTGTACAGATGCATAGAGATATATTTATTTTATTGTAAAATATTATGTATGTTTTTTAATACATTTGTTTGCACAAAAATGTGCCATATTAAAACATAAAAAAAAAAATCACAAAAAATGATCAAGCGAAAATAAAATAATGTAAAGAGGTATAGAACAAATGTTGATTTCTTTCTTCTTAATTACCTGATGGTCCTTTAACTTTTCAGTAAGACAAGGATATCTTTCACTTATGTATCGAAAAAACTTTGGTATACCCATTTTTATTTCAAGAGTTTCTTCGTTATGATGAAAAACGTTTTTGCGACCTTAACCGTTACGATAACACTTACAATTTCTTGTTTAAAGACTTTTTACAAAAATTAAAAACTTCGTCCGTGTAAGTTTATCAACTTTACTTCAATATATTCACAGACAATCAAATTCAGAAAGACGAGAAACCCATCGGAATTAATAAGAACATATTAGTATAGTGCGCCGATGGCCATGATGGTAAATTATTGTCCCTAAAATTTTAAATACACTTTTAAAATCGACATAAATTTTGCACTTCGTGAAAATAGAGAATAAGTATATATCCATTTTTTAAACATTTTAAAAGAATCTTAACGGTTAATATACAAGAATTTATTTATGGTACTTAAATGTATGCACATATAACCATTTTTGGGGGAAAAAAGGTGTTATAAATACACAAATTTTATTTTTTACGGTTTAATTCTTTACTTTTCGTTATGTATACATTAATTTAATGTAATTGATGCTTTCTTGCAATTAATTTTCGCAGAATGATACATAAATATTACATTAGAATAATTAATTGACACCTTTTTCAATATTCAATTGCGTTGCGGAATGCAAGCTCAGCAATGGTACAAGTTTCTCATTTATATCATAAAACGGAGTAAAATTTTTGAATTTTTTAGAAATTTAATTTTTAATTTACTTCATTATACTTTTTAAATTCAATTTATTAATTCTCGAAAAGAAGAAATTCTTGTGTCGCATGTGCAAATACAATATAATTTTTATTGCCGAATGGTAGAGTTTCGAAGTTACTATAGAATCGATAAAGAAGATTCAGAATGGAAGCCAGTCATAAACAGCTTATTTATCTTCTTAATAATCATTCTCCTCGATTATTTGCGAAAGACGAAATATCATCATAAAGCTTCTAGCAGGTGCTGCAGAAATTTCATTTTAATTTTGGACTTCGCGGTGCAACCGGTTACCTTTTCGTTTTCTGTTAAATATATCGTTGTCAACTTATCTTCTGTCGTCGAGGATCTAACCTTAAGTGGCATCAAAGTAACACCAATGAAATACTTAACGTTTTAATCATAATAATATAACATAAAAGTACACTCGCGTGAAAATATTTTTAACAACTAAAAGAGGAAACATTGTTTTAGATAATTTCATTATTTTATTTCATTAAATAAAATGACGCTTTTGTAAATAATTATTCTAAGTTTATTGGTTCTCAGTTGCAGATGATCAATGTTGGAAGAATGGTATTGTCGTTCAATTGCAAACAACAATGCAGATGCAGAAGATGATGATGAGGATAGTCCAGAGGAGGAAGTACCAAATTATAAGGATCAGTACCGGAATCTTAAAAGGAAGCTAAAATTTCTAATTTATGTATGTGCAATTAGAACTTTTATTTTTTTTTAGAAATATAACTAAAAATAATTTTTCTTTAATTATTTAATAATTATTTCACAGGAAAATGAATGTTTCCAAGAAGCTTTAAGGTCTACTCAAAGAAAACTACTTAAAGTTAATAGGGACAAAAGTTTTTTATTGGACCGGTTATTACAATATGAAAAAGTGGATGCATCTTTCAGTGAAAGTGATGAAACTGAATCATCTGATGAAGAAGTTACTCGTTTGGATACTTCTAAAAGGTAACTGAAGGTCTTCATTTAAAATAAGCTACACATTGATCTTGAACTATCTTTTTAGAAAAAAGATAGAGATGAGCATTAGCAATCATACTCCACATCATATAGCAACAGTAACAAAACCTTTGAACACCAGTAAAAAGAAAAAACCAACTCCAAAAGTGACAAAATCAAACAGCACACCTATAGTAAGTGATTCTGTATAACTTTATTAATGATAACTATTTTATAAATGTATTACATTTTTTCAGGTACAATCATCAAATAATGTAGTACCAATGTCTTTAATGTCAGATGGTCATATGACACCAGAAGAGGTAGAAAGACATTTGGAATCTCGACAAACTTACTTAGAACTAGTACCGGAAAAAGCACCGCCCACAGTTCCAACAGAAATGTTCAGTAACGATCCTTCGTTAGATAGGTAAATGATTCATCGTAAAATTTTTGTGAAATTATATAATGTACTATAATGTATGTATATTTACAGCGAGTCGAATGAGATCGGAGAACTAGAAACGTCTCCCAGTAACATGGGCGAAGATTGTCTCAGCGTGGACATGATGGCTGAGTGACAAATATTTGTTTATAGCTTAGTGATTAATTACAAATTGCACATAATTACGTATTTCATTAATATTACCTTACTTGGTTAACTTAACTGTACTCTTCGTAACGTAATACAAATTTTTATACATGTAATAGACTCCTCTATTCATAATCCTTATCGTAACGAGTACTTACAGCAACCGAAAACAACGAACTTCATACTAGATAGTGAAAAAATAACGTAAAAAAATAATAGTAGTAATGATAATTGAAATTTTGTCACATAATAGTTTCTCGTTTGTTTTTTTTCTTTTCAAATTGTCTCAAAATATGTAGGTTAACACTTTGACGTCCGTACATTTCGTTCAAAAACTCGTCGCTGCCGCCGGCGGCTCTCGCCTGGATCGTACCGCCGGCATTTTTCGCTCAGTCTTTTAGAGTGTAATTACAATACATTTTTTGAGAAAAATACATTGAAATCAATCATTTATGTTACGTTTTAGTAAAAAGAAAAAAAAGAAAAAAGAAATGAAGTCATGTCAGCGTGACGCCGACCGAAAACCGCTTGCGAAGTCACATATACGTGACAGCGGACGTCAAAGTGTTAAAAAATAATTTGCAATGACTATTGAAAAAAATTCTGTCGAATATATTCTGGAGAAAATTGTAACGAAAATCGCATCTGAATGTAGTCAGAAGAGGAGGCGGACAACTAAGCGGAAGTTGGATACTGAATTCGTCTCAAATAAAAGACTTAAATTGACTTTAAACGATGAGATATATTGTCGCATCTGCTATGACACTTCTCAACAATCACCGGTTATATATCCCTGCAGATGCAAGGTTGACTGATCTTATCTTTAATACATAAAAGAAAAATTCAAAAATATGTAGAAACAAAATAATCTTTTTCAAGGGAACCATGGGTGCAGTCCACTTAAAATGCCTGGAACGGTGGTTGGAAGAAAGTAACAGAAGCAGCTGTGAATTGTGCAGATACCAATTTCACGTTAAACGAACTCTGCGTTACCATGTTCTACATTCTATAATAATATGGATGTGCCTCAGTCAAGAGCAACACCAACTGTATGCGCGTAGTTTGAGAGCTGATCTACTTCGAAGCATAATTATCACGCCTATGGCAATTGGCTGTTCCTACATCTGCATAGTTGCAGCCGACTTTTACGCGAAAAATAATTATGACAACTTCCCTCCAGTACAATGGACCACCTATTTATTGCTAGCAATGATGTCCTTGCTACTTTTCTCTTACTTCGTATGGATGTACATGGCGATACAGTATCACCAGAAAGTCTGGTTTTATTGGTGGCAAAAGACGAGTACAGTAAAAATTATACTGGATCCAGGAAATAGAACTTCGATGACCTACAAGTATAATGTATCACAAGTTTAACAATTACTGAACACTTTAATTCGTAACGTCGAACACTTCTTTATAATACAGTCATTAGGAGGCTCTCCTCTTTATTGAAATTTTCCCACGACTAAGCTGGGATATGTATATTCGTACTTTGCTTCCATCTGAAACTTTCTTCACCCAAATCTAAAAAATAAATAAATTAGAATAAAAAGAGCAAATAAATTTTAAGCGATATTTATTCACTTACAGCTTCAGTTCCGATAGCAGAAATATTTGCGGCGAACCTTGTCAAATCCTTTCCTTCTACATACACAGGTTGCCCACGATGAAACCTGCAATTGCTTCATTTTAAACACACAATTCTTCCACATATTATAGTATTTATAATAGTACAATTACCATCGTCTTTCGTGTAGGAGTTTTCCATCCTCTATCCTAGTCTCTATCATAGGGGTATCAGAAGGCATGGGAATATGTTGCGAGGTTATGGTCACTGTATTGTAATGTGGTAATACTGCTACAAGCAAGAATACATTATTAACGCATGCATATTGCTTTAAAATCTTCAATCAGTACCTGGTTTTCGAACAGTGGTCAGTACTTTACCGCGACTAATTGCTTTCAAATCGCTTTCTATTTCTTTTTCGTCTAACAGGTAGTTCAATTGTGCGGGCGGTGGTTTCCTTCGTTTTTCTACTTTTTCAGGTACAGGGTCGTTCGGTCTTCTCCGTAATTTCCTTGTCATTACAGGTTTAACCTGGGCAAGAAATTAGAGGAATATATTTTAACATAAACAAAACTGTTTTTTAAATAAGTATATACCTCCATAGAATCTCCAGTGAGCTCCATAGTGTGCCTATCAGACTCTATCATCTTTCTCTTTTCTTCCATATCAGTTACTAAGTTTTCCTTTAAATCTACTTTCTTTTCCTCAAACTCCTTCACTGCTGCTTTCTTTTCTAATATGTAGTCTCGTTCTACCCACTCTGTCAAGTAATCACGGTAAATTATATTCAATCGTAATCTGTAAATAAATGTTCTCATTGAAGGAAGAGGAACACAATAATTACACACAGGTCAAATATTTTTATTGGAAGATGCAAACCTTTCTTTGTACTGAGCCTCTAAGCGCTTTAGCTTACGATTATATTCTGGGTGTGTGCCATCTTTCAATTGTTGTAGTTGTTTTTTTAAGCTAGCTAATTTATCCTGGTAAACCCTTAAAAATTGAATCATTTAATTACAAATCAGCAAACTAATTTAAATTTATCCACTTACTGCTCCTTTATCTCTGTGTATTCTTCAGATTTACCAAGATCTGTCTCACTTGCTTCTTCAGTGTCTGAAAATTGATATCACTGATTTACAAATATACCAATTATATTACTTTTTAAATGAAATAATCGTACCTTCGTCACTTTCATCTTGTTCTTCACCATCTCTAATATCTTCCAAGTACTCATCGATATCTTCATCAATGTCGTAATCGTCCTGACCATACATGGTCGAAAACGGCGAGTCCTGATATGACATTTTATAGTATAATAATCATTTCTCTGTATCTGTTCAATAATGCCAGGTTTTTATAATTCACTTCGGCAAACAAGTAGTTGCTACCTATTAAGGTTAGACCTGTCAACTACACCACTACACAATTCCAATTTTTACAGTGTACGAAATTCATATTTGTACCAAGATAGTTATAGATGTAGTAAAATTACGTTAAAAAACAACATATAGAGAGAAATATTATAAATATCACACTTTTCGAATATTTATAAACAACTTTGTATACAAAACCAATCAACTACGGAATATTCCATAGAAACACTATTAAGAGAGATCTAGTGGGGGCAGCATTTCTTCCTTGAATTTATATAAATACATTAAACGTCAATTAATAGCGCAAAAGATGAAATACAATCGATATAATCGAATTTCGATACATTTTTAAGGTTAAAAACATTATTATTATTTTTATGTAAAGTTCTGCATAGATGTTAAAACGCAGAATATTTTTTATAAGATTTTTACGAGAATTAAAATTAAATAATAAGAAGTAAAAACATTCTCCTATGCATAGGCGCCAAACGCGTAGGACATTAATATTTTTCAACCTTATAATTCCATAAAAAATAATTCTAAAGCGCTTTAGATATGTTAATTCAATTATTTAAACATTTTCTATTCTTATAATTGTAAGCATGTGTTTAATTAAATATAAAATTAGTAATTAATATCCGATATTAATTTAAACACAGTTGGCAGAACACGCAATTGGCAGCATTTTTTAACGTACTTCGCAGTTGTATAGTTACAGTTTTAAAATGAATACACGAGTAGTGAAACGGATTTAAAACTAACACTATTTTTTTCGCGTTCTTCTAAATTACACCGTTTTTCGGACACTCTGTCAAATTATACGCTGAATATACACGATCTAAGTTCGTATTAATCGTCATTAGAATAACGTAACAGGAACATTGAAATTTGGCGGTAACATAACCTTATGGTGATCTTACTGAGAAAGTTTATAAATGATTATTTCCTATTCAGTTTGTCTTAATATCGTGTGCGAAACATGAAGGAATTAGAAGAAATTAGCTGTGAGGTAATTTACAACATCATTCTATGCCCTCTCTTTTTTTAACAAATACATTATAGAAATGTGCACATGGTTATTACAGTACTTGTTTATGTCATAGTATTAATGGTGATGTCACTCCTAACTTAACTATGACACTATTTTTTTGTAGATACGCAGCATTGTAAATATTCAGCATTCTGTGACAAATCATCTGAATAATGTAGAAAGATATGACGGTGGATCATCAAATAGTTCACAAATATGTAATGGTTTTGATGGTGTTTGTGGAGGCTTTTTAAATGATGCTGCATATGCTTGGCTAAGTTATGGTTGCCATTTAATAGTCCTCAATGTGAAGACTGGTGAAAGCAGCAGTTCTTGGACTTTTCGTGGGAGGATTACTTGCCTATGTCAATTTCCTGCACAATGTGGGGAATTACCCTTACTTCTCATTGGCTTGGATAATGAAGCAACCAAAATCAAAGATTCCACAGGTTTGTTGTGTATCTTTGATTGTACCTCTTCCCGTGTCCTGAGAGCCATAAAATTGCCTGCTGGTGTGGAACAAGTTTGTGTTGTATCGGGTGGAGCAGAATGGGAGGAATTCAATGATAAAAGGCCAGATAATATTCTGATGCAAATGGATGGTATAGCTTGTGTAGTCTTACGTAATCTTCATCATCTGATGATTGATCTTCAAAGATCTACATGGGAGGTACCTGATTTGTCTGTGGTAATGGATGAAACTTCTCCAGCTGAGATAGAGTTCTTAACAACGAAAAATTCTTTTGATAGAAATAGTGGTAAACACATGGCTTGTAATTTATTAAATCGACGTAAGTACAATTAGAACAATACGCTGTGTCATCAATTTCTTTATTTTGCATTTACATTTGTATTTTTATAGGTTTAGAAAAGCATATTGGGTTCAATAGAGAAGAATTTGAATCGAACGCTTTTTTGGACGAAAAATTAACGAATACTATAATTAGTTCAACGAAGATTGGTTGTCTAATATCAGGATGCTTAGGTAGAGTAATCATTTGGCAGAATGATGGTTCTGTGGGATGGATCAGCCTACCTGTAGATGAAACTATGATAGTAACGCATCTAGCATTATTGGAACCAACCGATGATCCTAGACCTTTCTATTATTTGTGGGTTGTCTTCCAAGATGAGTCACTGAAGGTGCCTCCCCTATTGAGAATGTTTGCCTTATTATTCGAACGAAAGTACTGCGACAGGGGAACCAATTTGTATTTCAATCTGGAAGCAGAGCCTGGCCTCAAGTTCGAGTTCGAGTTAGACTCAAAGGACAGAGTCGTTAGTTTGTCTACAATCGAAAGAGGAAGCAGCACAGACCAAACAGAGTCAGAATACAAGAGAGGTGAAGACAGTTTGCTGCTGATATCGACTACAAACAGAACCCTGTTGTTTGACTTGAACCAGTGGTACAAAGAGCAAATGCCTCGGACCATCAGCGAATGCAAGAATCCAAACAGCATATTAGCTTGTTACAACACAAAGCGCAGACCGTACAATGTCAATAGCAACGAGATAATAAGTTGTGCCTATGTTCCTCGCACTCTTCAAGAGTTTCCGAACAATAGTTTAAGTTTATCTGAAGAACTATTCTACCCAAACTCTTTGTCTTTTGACTGGATAGAATTAAGTTTGCCTAGGTTAACCTTTTGGCTGTCCAGAGGTGTCCAAGCTGAATTGCTTCGTGAAATGGCCCTCACAGGACCTATTATACTAATGCAGCCCTCTGAGATGTTCCATAAATGTCTCTCTGTCGGTTTGGTACCCTATAATACAGAAGTCTCTTTCTCCAGCGATCTTAACTCCCAGAGAGATATGTTACTTTCACTCTGCCTGGAGCAGCGTTGGGCTACCTTCTTAATTAGATGTGCCAAGGAATGGTCAGATGGAAGTGCCGCCTACATGTATCCAAGCTTTCTGAAATGGGGCATACAGCGAGCATCTTCCATAAAAATGATTGCAGATCGTTTATGTGTACCCTTGTTTGATCTATCGGGCAATAATATTGGGGAGTCTGAAGTGAAGATGCTGAGATTTTGTTGTCAGCAACTAGAGTGTCTCTCCAACGTGGTAGCTAAGCTACCCACCGAAACGAGCAGCCTGGTTAAGCAACGAAGAGCACTGAAACGCGTGTCCATATACTTCCAGGTACTCCTTTGGTTTTATGATGTGGGTTTGTTGCCTGAGATGCAAAGTTTGGAGGAAGATTCTTTATCAATTTCTCTGGCACTTAAAATTCCATACCCCTTTGAGAAACTGTTTTCTCTGTACAAGGAGAAAAGGGAATCAATGAAGGGTGATAAAGCAAAAGAAGCAAAGGAAGAGGTGCTCTTCATAGATGAGTTAATTGTAAGGGAATGTTCTGCCCTGAATCTGCAATGGGAGAGAGAGGCTGGAGATGCAAATACCAATGGTTATTATCCTCCACCTTCTCTGCAATCCTTGTTAAGAAGCTACCTCACAGACTGTGAACAAACAGAGTCTAATGAAATTGAATGCAAGCATCAAATTACCATATATCTTCTGATGGATCTAGCTATGTTATTGCAGGGCTCTTATCCTCGTGTAGATCAGCTGATCAAGTATCCTTCTTCCTTCAAGATGAGTCCAAGCCTTATAAAGCTCACCCAAGCGTTTTGGCTACTGGATCACGAAGATTATCATGGTTTTCTGGACATGATGACTGGTCAACTGGTTAGTGATTCTGATGTGAAGGACTGGCACCATAAGCTTGTGTTGAGAACCCTGATAAAAAATAGTCAGCACAAGTTGGCTCTGATGTATCTACGTATAAAGAAACCTCCTCTATCTTCTATTCAGGAACAAAGTACATTGATAGGTCTATCAGTGGAGCATGGTTTAGTCCAGTCTGCCTTTCATCGTAGACCACAATCTTACTATGCTCAATTACTGATCTGCTTTTTTCAAGCTTGTAAAAGTTATGACAAACTTGGTGACATCTTGCACTTGGCTCTGGACTCAGAGGAGGAAGAAATGTTTGTAAAATTCCTGGAGGATTCGAAATCCGAAGATGTAAAACTGTTGTATTATCTGCAACGCTGTCGTTACATGGAAGCGAATAGTGGGAATTCGACTGCTTGGTTCAACGCTGTAGCCTCGAAGAATGTGCACTTAGACATGCTGAAAGCCTACAATGCAACCCTGCCAGACGTAGTGAAACGGTTTTCCATGAACATGGGCAAAACGAACCTAGATACAGACTTGGAATCCAGATATCCTAGGCCAATGACCCATCATAAGAGTTCACAGAAGGCTACAAGCATCTACGAGATAGTGATTAGGAAGGCAAGGGAGACCTATCTTAGAGGGGAGAAGTCTCCAATCCCTTTCATTAGTGCCCCCTGTTCTACATTAAAGTCCAATGATGAGAGGATCAGTATAAGCTATGTAATGTCTCCCAAGGTAGTGCAGAAGAACAAAAAACGCACCTTGGACCAGGTTATGCAGGATGAGGAGGATAGTGGGATGAGAACACCAGAGAGAGCAAAGCGCAGGAAGCTGCTGGATGATAGTGAAGCAGCTCTGACTGCTGCATTTAACACTCCACTGGTAAAAAGAAAGATATGTAACAATAGAGACACTATAATAGGAACTCCACACTCTATTCTGAAAATCAGGCAGCTCATAAGGAACTCGACGTCTCCAAGTGTTAGTACTTTGCAGGGAGAAGTTACTGACAGTCCATTGTTGGACAGGGAACGTAAGATTAATCGGCAGATCCGTTTCAACATTGGCCAGTCGAAGAAGAATGGTCCTCATGATGAAGTGAATGACGAGGAGGATTTTCCTAAGCTCAGTGTGTCAGAGGAGAGTGAAGATGCATACTTCAGTCCTACAGTGAGCGAGAAGTCCCAAATGGAGAGTGCAGTTCTGTCAGACAACAGTTTTACCTGTGCAAACGTGTACACAGCTCGACCCAGGCCCAGTTTGAGGAGAAGCTACATGCAATCATCTACAGAATCCGTAAACGACTCTTTGGCCAAGTGTTCTAGGACAAAAAACACTACTAATAAACGTTTAAATGATTCACCAGTTAGTGCGTTGGACAATTGTTCCAGAATTTCGTCGAAAGCCACACCTCAGGTGTCCAGAAAAAGTACCTCTATGTTGTCCACCTCTGTTTATTCCACTGCTATCCTTTCACCAGACAGCAGCTTTGAGACGAGCCAGAAAGTCTCGAGAACGTCCATTGAGAATGTTCTTCAGATTTCGTTATTAACCTCAAGGCAACAGGATACTAATTACAATTGCGTTAGTTCAACTCCTTTAATAAAGAGTTCTGTTCCCCAGGAGCCACGTTACAATCTTAACGAACCAATGGATGAGGACGACGAGGAGGAAGACATTGTGCCAGAAGCACTGTGCTTGGACAGAGAAAGTTCTTTGAGAAACATGCATAAATCGAGTAATTTGCAGTTTTATGAGAGCGAGGAAAGGGATAATGATACACTGAGGGAGAATACGGCGAGCAAGTGCAGAAATGGGGATCTTTCAAAAATCAAGGCTTCAGAAAATGCCAGCGAAGAGCTTGAAGTTTGTGAACAATTGCAAGATGAAACTGCACAGAATGTTCAAGAGCATGTTAGTTTGAAGAATGGCGAACATTTTGACATCACTGATGACGAATCTTCCAATAGTGGAGACGAGGTGGTTCTAGTTCTCGACGAGACAGAAACCAAACAGAAACACCAACCAGAGACACCAGACAACTTCTACGATGCTCCAAACATCACAGACGACGAGTCTGATTCTAGTTTAGAGGTCATAGAGATGAAAAACAGTAGTGCTACAGCTTCAAAGAATATACCTAAGCAGACCAAGCTCTACACGAAGAAGGAAGGCGTGAAAGAATGCAAGACGAATAATAGTAATTCTAGCTTTAGGAAAACGAGGAAAAACTCAGTTCAGAGTTCACCGGAACTTTCGGAGTCCAAGGACACTGTCAACACTTCTATTCTAGACTCTGAGTCGCCAAAAAGTGGTGAGAGTTTCAAATCAAGGATGACCAGGTCACGTAGAATTCCCTCCATATCAAAAGAGACCAACACACTCCCTCTGAATTCACCTTCCAAAGTTCCAACGAAGACTCTACGATCGAGACGCGCCAGTTCCCTCGTCAAAGAGGTATTGATTGCGTCTGTGATTACTACGGACGAGAGTATTAAGCAAACAGCCTCGTCTGGGTCGGAAGAGTCATCTGGAACTTCATCACCAAGGAAAACCAGGAGCAAAAGAGCTTCTTCTGTAACCAAGGATATCTCCATAGAAACAGAGAGCGAAGAAGTCAAGGTACCGGTAAGAAGAAGCACCAGACGTGCTGCTTCTGTTCAAAAGGAGCTATCAGGGCCAGCAAAGCCGTTGACGAAGAACAGTAAAGCATTGTCATCCTCCAATTTAGCAGCAGAAGATGGAGATGAAGTGGTACAGACAGATACTAAAGGATCAAAGACAAAGCAGTCATCTGGAGGAAAAAGGACTATAAGTACAACTTCAACCAGATCTACAAAGGACTTCAAACCAAGTGAAAAAGAAGTAGAAGAGACGAGTTCTGTTAGACAAATAAGGAAACGTGGTAGTTCTGTGCCCAAAGAGTCAATTGGCATGGCAAGAACCAGGAGATCTAGCAGTGTAGCGAAGGAAACTATTGCTGAGCTAGAAACATCGCAATACTTAATGGAACAGGCAGTAAGCAGTCCTGCTACGAACACACGTAGTCGTAGGTCATCAATACAGTCCATACCAGAGGAGCTTGAAGAAATTCTGAGTGTATCATCCAAAGAGAGGGTCTCTAAAGTTAAAAAGAACAAGCAGACTGTACAGAATTCACGTCAGAGAAGGGCTGCAAGCGTAGAGTTGTCTCAGACGGAGATGAAAGGGCGGATTAGAAGTACACGTGGCAAAGATATCCACAAAGAGATTATATTGGAAGAAGAGATGACACAGATGGAGAGTCAACTAGATGAGTCTAGCTCCAAAAAAGTTCCTACAAAGAGAAAACGTGCTGCTTCAGAAATGCTTCCTCAAGAAACAAATGAAGTAGTACCAAGAACTAGGAGAAATCAAAAGCCAATGAAGCAAGAGGTTAAAGAGATTAAGGATGTTAAGGATAAAGGGGTTGATCAGTTTTCATTTTCACAGCCAGAGAGAGCAGATAACCCACCATTAGATCAGAAAGGTACATCGCAGTGACTCTTAATGAAATTATCTAATCATTAAGATCAATGATCAAAGATCACTGATCATCTGAAATGTTTCCAGTTATCGGAGAAGTGCCGAAGTACATGTTTTCACCCCCTCATACCAGGTCGAAGAACACGGCTCCTGATCATCGTAGGTGGTTACTTTTCAATTAGATTAATTTTTGCTTTGTTATCAGTATCTGTATTGCTTGCTATCTTCAATCCACACACAAGGTTCTGAGACTTTTTCAATGCTCGTCAACATGTTCGCCGTTATACTTTTAACACTGGCTAAGAATTCGACACTTTTGTTTTATCGCATAAGTAAACGTCTAATTGCTGTTTTAAGGACGGATAATTAATATAAGGTTTCTCCGTGATTCCTGTATAGGAGAATAAACAGTTTCATTCCAAGTGCGAGCCAAGAGGAAATGAAAAAAAATGGAGAACGAAAAAAAGATACAGAACATTCTACAAGGAAACACAACAGTCGAGAAATTACATCATTACGTTCGTATGACTGTACATCGCTGTAGAACGAAGTTTGTATTATCCAAGAAATCCAAACGTACAGCAAATTAAATGTAATAATTTTGTAAAATTTTCTTTTTAACCTCTTTTTTTTGTCAGTTCAAACGTCACATTCAATTGTCTGAATTTGAATGATTTTATTCAAATGAAAGGGTCTCTGATAGGTCGTACAGTGCTTTCTGCCAAACGAATATGTACAGTGAATAATGTGTAAATATAAAATGAATCACTTTTTTGATGTATAATAATGCAAAGTTCATCGCTGCACGAGGTTAATTAATTCTAGAACGTGGAGTCAAGAAAATGGTGAAATGGTGAGAGGGAAGTAGCTTTTTGCTACCGATTGAATAATATTCAGTCTAACGCAGATTACAATAACTATATTTTATTACCAAATATTTCCTTTAGATATTCCTTTAAATTAACTCGTTTAATCGGCAAGATTATTTTGTACAATCTATAAACTTGTTTGATTAGTTCTTGTTTTTCTCTAATTTAGTGTCTGTTAAGTTTTGAAATGGGTTAGCTGTACAAATAGAAATATCTTTCGTTGACTTGTATTTTGCACAATATTAAAGCAGGAAAGAATTTCAAGGATGTATCATACGAACCGTATTAATTGTAAATCATATAAAAAGATTCATTACTTTTATACACATCATTCGCCAAATATATCTGTTACATTAAATAAATCCATTTTTTTCTCTGCCACAGTAGGTTCATGGAATGAATTATTGTTATATCATAATCTGTATGGGGTTTTCAATGAAAATGTGTATCATAACTTTGTAAATAATTTATTAATATACCCATGTATAGCTGTATTCATACAATAAATGTAAAAAAGAATTATAATACTACCGCTATATCGAATAAAATTTCCAATCACCATAAATAACTCACTAACTAGTTAAGCTTAAATACCGAAGCAATGTTAAATAATACTACAAATCAGCCACATCTACATATTTGTGGATTAGTGAAAAGATCGTATATAACCTTTATCTTCTCCGAAGTAACGCTTAAAAATTATCTTTTAATTTATTAAGCACTTGTTTCATAGTACTTTCTCAAAATGGAGGTCTTTTTTTCTTGTTAAATACTAAACTTTGTCTGGTACAAAATGAACGTTATAAATTGTCCTCTTTGGCAGTAAGTTACTCTTGGTTCTGCACCTTAAATAATTATTGGAAAAAAAAGAAAGGAAAAGCAAAATTTACACATATATTATAGATCTATAGTAAATTTAGAGAGCATGTGTATCTATATTCGATTAAACATCTGTCGTTTTAACTCGATCATTTGATATTCAGTCTAAATGGTCAATCTTTGTACATCATCGTTTGCTTATTAAATACGATTAAATATATTAGATGAATCTTCTTTATTTTCTTTTTTTAGTTTTAATTCTGATTGTCTACTCTGCTATTTTTATCCTTGATATTCTTTCGCATAAAAATCTCTTTTGATATTCGTGAAAAAAGGCAGATCTAAGATTCAGGACGGTGCAATTCATTGTTCCATATGTTAATATCTCGATCTTTTTTTTTTGTTTTTTTTTTTACACCGTACCTCTTTAAAAGGCACATTTATCCATATTGCTTTTCATAAGATATATCATGTTGTATAATAGAAGATACAAATTCAGTGTTACACTTGTGTCTATCCCTAAATTATACCTTCGCTTCACCGACACAAGTGCGAATAGAGTAAGAACTCGACCACTAAATAACTTACAAATAAGTAACTTACATTGTGTCTCTTCATGGCAACGAAAGTGTTCATTATCAAAAAATACCTCTTATCAAAAGAAACCTAGTATACTATTCTTACTGTTGCTTGCAACTATCCTTTACTCTACGTTTGTGTTTCTCTTCGTGAGTTTGGGACGGGGATTGCATTTGATTTCTTCGTTGTCCTTGTATAGGCATGTAGCATGGAGCATCGTCGTTCATAAGCTCCTGTGGTGGTGTAGGCAATGCGTATGTAGGGCTTACGGTACTGCTTGAGCTGCTTGAGGTATTTCGATGCACATTTCCATTGTAAGTGGGATCAATGATTGCAGCAACATTTGGTACCTCTCTTATATTTTCAACAGACTCGTCCAACGTCTGTATCTCTTCAGGATCAGGATACTGTGAATAATGTTGCACTCTAGGTTTGGTTTGTATGCTCTTCAAATCCAATCTATCAGGTCTCTGTGGTTTCTCAGTAAGATTCTGTTTCTCAAGTTCTTGAAGTTGTTGTCTCTCTAGCTTTCTCTGTCTTGCCCTCTGCCTAGCCTTCCTCACTTTTGTGCGTTCCTTCTCCTGGAGCATGCGAGCCAATTCCGCATCTTGTGCTTCCATAGCAATCTTTTGATCTAGTAGTAATTGTTCATTCACAGGATCATCATGTTCCTCTATAGCATTCTCTTCTTCCTCTTGCTGCAGTTTTCTTGCTAATTCCTTTATTTAATAATCATTGTAAGCATGATATTACAAGTATAAATTTAGGATATTGTTTTCTAAATACCTCATCTTTTTCCTCTTGAATATGCCGTTCAAGTTCAAGCTGTGCAGCCTCATCATCCAGTCTCAACTGCAATCTCATCTGCTCCTGCAATTCTCTTTCTTTCTGCCTCTCCTCTCGCTCCAGGGACAGTGCAATCTGTCTTGCAACAAGGGCATCTCTCTCCTCCCTGTAAGATGAAAACTTTCAATGAGAAACTAGTCTTAACAGAACACTGTTCAACCAATAGACCAAATACTGACTGCTGTTGAACGTAACTCTGATATCTGAGTGTCTCGAGCTCTTGTTCAACTTTAGCTCTTGGCAAATCCTCCCTGACTTGAGCATTACGGACCTTATTGCCAGTGTAGTGTTCCCTGACTGCAAGTAACAGACACAATAAGTACAATATACCTAAAAAGAAGCAAGAATACTTGATAATTAATTCAAAATTCTCACTCTCTTCATCCTGAAGTCTGTATGCAAGCGCCCCATCCTCGTGCACCAGCCATTCCCGACACACTGTGCATTGTCAAGCGAAAGATCATTAGGGATGCCAGTCTAATGAGTAATTCTAATCAGCATTGACAGGAAGCGTTCAAAAATGTTTATATACCTTCGTTCACACGTCCAGCCTTCGGCAAGGTATCAGAACTGAGCACAGACTTCGCCATTTCGTAGCGTCCGATCGTTGTCTCGCGTAAGGTGCTCTATTCGGCCTCGTTTCTTGTTTACAACCACCTTACAGAAGACATACGTTGTTTTCTCTCCATCTTGAATAGCAGTGAATAGAACTTGCGTGTGTGGTGGAACTCTCCCCGATATTGTGCATTTCTCCTTTCACGGTGTGCGTAGGAACGTTCCTGAAGCACATAGAAGACGTAGTACGCATCGTAAGTCGCGTACACACAGTCGCAAAGGCTTCACTGAATGCCAGCGATGGCTATGTCATTGTACGCGATCTTGGAACAATTTTGTAAACAATATTCCTCATGAATACCCAATTATTTTTCATTAAAAGGATGTATTAGGACTTTATATTCTTGATTAGGTTAGTAGTTCGGTGATTGATATTTTTATTATGGATAATATCTGGACTTCCCTTTACAGAAATTTTTTTTAACAACCGTTTGGTCAAATCCATCGCTAGTTCTCGTGAGATGACTGTGTATTAGTAATGGCAAAGCTAGTGGTGTTTCTAGTAAGAGTAGTACACTGATAGTAAGGCGAGCGTACTCACGTCGGACGTTGGTGAAGCGGATAGTAGAGTTCCTCGTATTAGTGTCACTCTTAAATCCGATAGTAAGGCTGTCCGGGGAAATTCCTTACTTATGAGGAAGGATTAGAATAGATCTCATGTTCTGATGTAGATTTTAATTAAGCGTTTTGACGTGTATTGCTCATTATCTGTAATTTAAATCATGTTAATGAAAGAATCTACTGGGCAAGAAGCTAATCGAAGCAGAACGCTTCACGAGAGCGGACTGTACATTATGGGAATTTTTAAGGGGCTGCTCTACTAACCAAGAAATTTAGTATGAATTTCGCTGGAATATGATTGAAAAGAAACCGCATAGCATGAAATAAACATGACTCGCGTTATTTTTGAGTAAACGATGCGCATTTTAAGCGGTATTTTAATGTTCTCGATATCTTTTACGGAGATTTACAAAACGTAGGAAATTGTGAGCGGGATTTCGGCTTTGAAGTGATCAATGAACTATTTGTAATTGAATATGGAAATTAATTAACTTCTTGGAAAGTAATTAATAACAAACAGTTGCTTAGCAGTAATACCATGTGAAAAGGTACATAATACAACATCTTTTGCAACATTTATACCTTCTTAAATAGTATTCAAAATAATCATATTATAATATTATCAGGAAATTAGAATTTCACAAATAATATTAGTTGAAGAATTTAGTAATGAAATAATGTTATAAATATTTAAAAATATAAAATTGTTTTCGACTTTAGCGTGTAGATTACAATTTGAAATTTCGCGGTTAAATAGTAATATTTCATAAAAAAAATTAAATAAACTATGTCCGTTACATTTAGTTCTAATTCCAACCATTACTAATGTTGTAATCTTATTCTATGCTGAATCGGTAACGTTGGGAGTGACGCGAAAATGGTAAGGGTCTTCTGGGCCCGAGTGCCGCGGACACAAAGTCCCATAAAATGTTAGGTCTATCGTGTACGTCGTCTGTGGTTGTAATCTTATTCTATGCTGAATCGGTAACGTTGGGAGCGACATGAAAATGGTAAGGTTTTTCTCGGTTCCAGTGTCGTGGACACAAAATCCCATATGTTAGGTTTATCCTATACCTCGTCTGTGTTTAAACCATTTACATACCTATACCGCACTTTTTCTCAAGTGGCGGCAGTGTAAGACCAAAGAATAGTGGGGGTGGTTTGACCCAGACTGGGTCAGACTCTGACCGCTTATTTGGTCAAGCGATGACGTTAAAAGCCTCAAATTTGCTTTGCCGCACAATAATTTTGTATACTTCATTATTGTAAAAATTTTGAAACCTGTGCAACATGTTATATAGTTGAAGATAATAGAAAATTGCAATTAAATGAGTATATTTTCTTTTTTCCAAACCTCTCCCATGAAAGGAAAAATCAGATCCCTAAATGAAAAGAATATAATAACATGATAATTAAAAATGCTGTAAATAATATTATTTATAGTACATGTATGTATTATAATATTTAAACAATTCTTGTGTAGAGGTAGCGGGGAGAGCTGCGGACGTCATACAAAGTTCCCGCGGCTCTCCCCAGCACGCCTGACGAGGACCACCGCGGGGGTTTTAGTGGGTAAAAATCCCACACTACCACACCACCCTCCCCGGGGGGCGGCGGGGTGTCTTTGGAAGATTTCCCCCGCGTAAAAAAAAAAAAAGGCAATGTATACAAATTTGTATAAATATTGATTTTTATGAATTAACAAAGAAATACATTTCTATTTCATTTAAATGTAACATAATTTTATTGCTCAACGTCAAATCTATCTTATTTTTTACAATTTTTCTTAAAACATTCTCTATTTGTTAATATCTACAATTTTAGTATTCGTGAATACAGGATCTTCCGTAAAGAAATGAATTTCAACCAATTGTAATCTTTAATATTGTGTTTTTAATTATAAAAGATAACGGGAATCGTAATTCGTAAAATTTTTCTTTCTAACAAATAAATAATAGTTGCAAAACCGGTGAAGAACCATGTTTTGTTTAACTTTATTAAAGACCTATTGTTAACTGAAGTTAAAAAGTAACCTACAAATGAAAATCGACAACAATAATGCCAGAATCGTGGGCCGTGGGCCAAAACAGTTACCCTCACAAAATTTCCTCGCCGCGTTCACCATAGACGTGCGAGAACAAAGTGTAATTACCACGGCCCACGATTCTGGCATCAATGATCGACAGCAGTGGTGAATCGTTCAAACGAAAAGGGATTGAATAAAGTTTAAAAATGCTGTGTTATGATGGAAAGCTTAGTTTCTTTTGTTTTGTTGCGGCTGTTTTAATCGCAGTACTGCCGGAGGCACTTTTAAGGTTAGAACTTAATGTTCCTCGAGTCTATTTCGACAATATCTGGCTCACACATTTCTTCCAATACGGATTTCTCAATACATTTTTACTTCTTGCATTTCGTGGCTTTTCTTATCAGGTAATTTACACATTGTAATATTTTTTTCTGTTTATTTTTCTTGTAGAATAACAAACGCTTGCCTTACAGGTTGCCATAAGGGCAGCTTTCCTGGGATATGCATTTGGCGTAGGAATTGTTGTGTCTCTCGTTGCACCACTTTCGTGGAAGGCATTTGGCTTTTACATTGTCGTATTAACAACCTTCCATTATACAGAATTCTTGAGTGTAGCATGGATAAATCCATCTACTCTTTCTACCGATTGCTTTATCCTGAATCATAGTGTAGCATATGGAATAGCAGCATGCTCCAGTTGGATAGAATTCATCATAGAAAGGCAATACTTTCCTGTAATGAAGGAGCCTTCCTCCACATCATACTTTGGTCTGATATTATGCATTTCTGGAGAGCTACTGAGAAAGCTAGCAATGTTCACTGCCAAGCACAACTTCAATCATGTGGTGCAAAGTGAAAAGAGAGATGACCATGAATTAGTTACCCATGGGGTTTACAAGTTATGTAGGCACCCAAGTTATGTGGGTTGGTTTTACTGGTCCATAGGAACACAGGTTGTAATTTTTGGTATTGATCAATGCTTTATTAAAGCACAGATTAATATCTTTCACATTTCTATTTCTAGCTGATTCTTCAGAATCCATTCTGTCTTGTGATATACACCGTGGCATCGTGGACGTTCTTCTACGACCGCATCTTGATTGAAGAGATCACTCTGCTGAATTTCTTTGGGCAGGACTATGTAGAGTACCAAAAGAAAATTGGTACAGGTTTGCCTTTTATATCAGGCTACAAGCTCGATTTGTAGCAATCGGTGTACATTTGAAATACGCTCTAATTATGTCAATTTCTCAGGTGTAATAATAATTAAGATTATCTGTACTTACTTCTTTTCTACTATTTACAATAAGGACAGGTGTTCTTAACAAAATTATATTTATTGTCTCATTTCATTTTGAAGAATTATTCATATAACAATAGACTACACTTTCATGTTACATTGTAGATACTTTCAGTTGATTCGATTATACATTACTCTTTATATCATATACGCTTATATGTGTATATATATATATTTTTTTTTTATACATATATGTATATATACACACATACACACACACAAGAAATGCATAATAATAAATATTTATAATGCTGTGGCTAACATTTTTTTGCATTGACATTCAGAAAGCATTCGTTCGATGTTGGATATAAGGTGCTAAAGATACTGTACATGATCATTTACAACGTATGTATGTGTATTTGTGTGTGTATCGTTAAAGTTCTTCGACTTTGTATTGTTAAAAAAATTCTACCGTGTATGTTAACCCAATTCTCCATTTCATTTCCGTATTATAAAAAAAGAAATCAAAGAGATTGTATCTAGGATACAATTGTTACCATTGTGCATCAGACTTTTCAGTCTTCTTTGATCACACGAGAAGAGTATAGTTAGTCATACAAATCTAAAAAAGATTCATAATAATACTTTCCACAGTGGGGGGGAGAGAACCTGTGCTTGTAATTGACAATTGAACAGGCAAAACTGAAACCTGTACGAGTCGATTATACGATAGTAATACCCGGTAAACAATAAAGTACCAATGATATCACCCTAACGTTTCTATACGCTCCATTATCCCATAATATATTATACCGTCGCCTGATAAGAGAACTATTATTACCAGAGAAATAATATTATGCGTAAAATGTAAAAAAACGCCAAGGTTCTGGAGGCTAATCGTAATTATTTACAGACACTTGTCGCAGTTTTTTCTTTTTTTATCGAATACAAATCTTATTAGAACTAGCAACATATCTCTTCTTACTAGCACCGTATACCTTAACTATATGCGAATAATTTGTAAGTAATTTTTCTTTCGTTTAATATCACATAAATAGAGTTAGAAAAAGTGTCTTGATGATAAAACTTTTACGTGAAAGTGAGTAGCAGGGCCTAAAGAATCAACAGATCGGTTAATGGCAGTCAAAACTTATGCATGATATTGTATCCCTTTGCAGTCACTTTGGTTGCAGTTGAACTAAAAGTAGAAAAGAAAAAAAAATAGAATCGCCCAGAAAAGAGGATGAGAAATTCTCTGCTGTATAAAATGTAGTTAATTCGATTATAAAATGTTCCTGGAGATGTAACAACTGTACAACTACAGATATAAAACTGCTTATGGTATCATTTGCCGCGGTTACTTTCATATTGTAGATAATAATCAGCCTCTTCCATACCATTTCGCCACTATTTAAATCTTGCCAGAGTGATACACTGAACCTAACCTCCTAATGGGATGTTCCAAGGTCTCTTCTGGTTGGAAGTCTATCATCCAGACAACTATAACCCAAGGAAGAAGAAAAGAATTACTGATGATATTTAGATCTTCTGTAGAACGCATGTATTAAATCATTTACCTTGCTCTCAATGTCAACGAAGCATTAAACAATTTACAAATTGATTAATTACACAAAATGATCGTTGAATACACGTTTCTTCATTGTTAAACATGCTACGTATAAAGAAACGCATATTCGTTCGTGGAGAAACACTTAACTTAATATACATTTCATCGCGTTTATGGTGTCCATGCATAACACTATGAGAAGCACACTTTGTTCTCGCACGTCCATGGTGAACGCGAGGAAATTTTGGAGCAAGATCAACAATGAGTAACACTTGATGCTATAAGCAGCCAGATTGGCCGCTGGTTTTGGGTGGATTATGTTCACAGGCGGGGGGGGGACAAACGCGTCAAAAATATCCGTGTCTGCGTTGGTAAATACCAAGGATGAGGGGATCCATCTTGCTCTGAGCAGCGTAGAAAAAATTAGGAGAACATTTCAAGATGATAACGTCAAAGAGGATAGATAGAAGACTTGATAACGTTAAAGAGGATACCTGGTACATGGTGATACATTTTTTCCTCTTATGGCCTTCTCTCCAATGTCTATGGCACCAGAATCTTGGACTTCCATAGTGTAAATGCAGCCAGAGAACCCCTCTTGGTATTTCCCATAAGTCATAGCATAATCAGGCACTCCACCTAAGTATACGTTGCCTCTGGTGTTCAAGTTTTGTTGTGTTCCATAGCTAGCACCACTCTCCATGTGTTCACCATTCAATTCTATACTACCATCGCTTCCTTGGCGTTTCAAGATTATTCTGTGCCTCTCTCCATCGTCCACCTTCTGTGCAGTGACACGTATCACCACCGGACCTGAGCCCAAGTTGTACTGGTACTCTACATAGCTGGAAAAAAAGCAGTACACAAAGTGAACACCAGCTCTGAATGTGGAAATATTCAATTGGAAGGCTCTGAATTACCCATCAACAACAGCTAGAGCCATGTAATGGTCAGTATTCAAGTCATTAGGTGTCTGTCCATGCCACATGACTAGCCCTTTGGTTTTATTCGTTGAAATCTCAAAACCTAACACCTCGCGTTCCTCCTCATGCGTCATCACAGACTTGTCTAACTCCAGCCAACCATCCCCTCTGAATGCAACATCATAGGTAATCTCTGCCACTAGAAATCAATATAAGTTAGACCATAGAGTAAAAGGTACATTGAATTTGATGGTAATCTCCTAAGGTAGTTACATTTTTCACAATTCTGTCCATTGTAACCAAGTCGACAGTCACACTTATAGGACCCATGGAGATCAGTACAGGTGCCTCCATTTCTACAAGGAAGGAGTAGTTCACACTGCTTCAGGATATTCTCACAATTTCTACCCACGTAGCCATATGCACAGGTGCAAGAGTAGTCATACACATCACTGTTTTGGCACATTCCATGGATGCAAGGATTGGATGCACATGGATCATATGGTGTTGTTGTAGATGGTGAAGTAGTGATCACTGTGGTGAGCCTGGATTGATTTGGATGCAGAACATTGCAGTCATCTATATTAGCTGAATCTATGGCTGATTTCAGTATGTCTATGTTCACTGAAGACACTCCAAGCTGAAAAAGAATATGTTTTAAGTAATTGAAACTCCAATGAAGAGTCTACAGCAAGACTTACATCACTGATACAACCACGAAAAGCTCTGTCAACACCAGTATTTTTGTGCACTATGATTCTCCTGCGATCAACTCCTCCAATATATAGGGGTGTATTGAGAGACATGGTACGCGCAATTCCTGGAGACTTGCCTCCAATTGTGGGCTCTCCATTTACTGTCAGGTTCCCTTCTTTAAAATCTCTGTTCACTGAAACGTGAGTCCATACTCCAGGCTGAAGAATATGGTTGGATCTGATGATTGCCAGGCCTGAACCAATGTCGTAGCGAAACTCCACGCGTTTGTCCTTGACCACAAGGGCCACAAAGTCCCCAAGTCCTTCGTCACTTTGAGAACAGTACATCAAGATGCCGTCTTTATCCTCGAGAGGATTTAAGTTCAACGCCACCTTAAACCTAATGACAAAATTGAATATTAATAAAGTGATTGCTTTATTTTGATTTTGGGATGAAGAGGTTAGTTCCTGTTAATGGGAGAGAATGTTACACTCAATAGCAAGAATGTGTAGATACAGAGGGGTTTTCACTTGCTGTATAACTTACCTCTGTTTATGGTTATAAAAATGGCAAAGATGGGTGTCCAGTGAAATGAACATTTCACTTGGCAACAAATCCTGTTAAATCAATTTTTATTTGCATCTCAAGACATATATTTATATTTATAGCATCATTTGAATACATGTAAACGTTCATTCTGGCCCTAGAAACACACACGTCACTTCTGGCACATACACCGAAATACAGGTTCTTATAAAATAAGTACAAACATTCTCAAATGTGCCTAATTTTTTGGTGCGCACGTGTGTGTGTTTATTGTGTGCCTAGTGCACAAGTCACATTTAATGCCGCAACATCAATTTATTACCTTGGAAGTAAAATGCAATTTTTGTTCTGGCAGTGACCCAATTGATAATTGCTTACAATAATTAAAATGACTAACACAATGCGTTAAGTGTATTATTTAAGAAGCTGTACAGAGAACCCTTCACGGTCCGAGATTTATCTTAATAGAGAAGAGAGCTCTGTCGACAGAGGTTGTTCTTGGAACAAAATACTCATGACCGGAAAGGGTTGGATATAATAAATGTATAATGTATAAGTATAGTATTCTAATATTACAGCACCATGAGGTTCATTCCGAGGAACTACCCACTATACAGGCTTGAAAAATAAAATTCTAATAAAAAAAATATAATAATAATATACATATATGCTGACTGACAAAACTATAAATAGCAGTTACACAAGATACACTTTCTTTATTTTCTTTTTCTCATTATGTGCATCCTCATTGTTTGGTTGTAAGAGAAGAAAATAAGGGAAACTACTAATGGTTCGTGTGGTGCTGTGGCTTATTGCGGTGATGTTGCCTCGACCGTGGCTTTCTAACTTGTGCGTTGCGTGCTCGTAATGGATAGTATGTGTGGCTCGGGTTCATTCTCGTCCTGAAAATTATTTCTCCAATTAGGAACAATCTTACAATGGGACGAACAGATGTCGTCAGTGTGTCTGAGGATCCTCCTGCCTATGTGGATAATTAAACAAATTCTCTACTGATAAAGAAGAAGAGAGCTAGGGCACATTCTAGGTGTATACTGAAAGAATAATGTCATGCACCATGCTTTCTGTACAGACAATTACCGTCTAAGAGCGTTTGGTGTGTCGTGTGCTACGAAAGACTTGTCATCATGAAAGGCTGGTTCGTAAATCTTCATAGAATTCTCGCAACGTGAACCTGTCTTGCCATGGGGACAGTAGCACTCGAAGCCTGTCTCCTTGTCCACGCACTTACCCTCACCACAAGCACCTGGAAAATTCATTCACAGTTGCAAACAAGTGTTCAAGAGAATTTTTCAGATATTAAATTCTCACCTGGATAACAGGACTGGCCAACGTAGTCACAATGCTTGCCACTATAGCCAGCACGACATAGACAGGTGTAGCCATTCTTGGTAGCAGCCTCCTGACAAACACCGCCATTGTTGCAAGGATTCTCAGCACAGGTCTCGCAATTTGTGATTCCAGTGCTGTCTGTTTGGTCACCAATCAGGTCCATCTCCTTCTCCCCTATCACCAATCTGCTGATACATCCAACGAAACCACTGTTCACCTCTGCATACTTGTTGATAATATAGTCACTGGGCACACCACCAATGAATAGCCGAGCCTTCAGGTCTAATTTTTGCTTTCTACCAGCTGCTATGCCCTTGTATGGTCCCTCTCCATCGACCAGCATGGTTCCTTCTTTCCTGTTGCGCTGCAACTTTATGGTGTGCCATTCGCTAAGGGTGACAGGCTTTTCTGCACGAATTATGGCTGGTCCAGAGCCCAGGTCAAAGCTACGATACAGAAGTTATAATTAGTAGCGAGAAATACGTATTACAAACTTCGGTTATTTGATTTTTACCTGAATTGTGGGTACCCTCCAACCAGAGACAGCAGAATAAAGTCATCGTTTCCACGATCGGACTCTCCATTGTACAGGATGATGCCATCGTAGTTCTCTGGCTTGAAGGAGACCTCGATATTGGACTTCAGGTAGGAGTCAAACAAAGGTGGAAAAGCAATGAAGCTTTGTGGTGCCTGGCTAAAGTGTGGAACCACTCCTGTTACTACCAGCACTGTTGGAATTTCTATATTCTCAAGATCGTTGTTCACCGTGCACAAATAGGTTCCTGCGTCCTCTGCTTTGATGTTAATTAGCTTCAATTTGCTCTAAGAAGAAAGATATAAATGATAAAGTCAGAATTCTTATAATTTTATGAATAATATTTATTCAGTATTGCACCTCGGAAGCTTGAGCATCGCGTGGCAGGAAGCCCCCAAGTTTGCTCCAGTGGAACTTCATGGGTGGATTCAAGTTGGGATGACAGTCCATCTCTAGAAGAGAGCCATAAGGAGCATACTTGGTTTCGATTGCTGGTGCATCGTTGTTTCCACCTGAGAAATAAAGTCACAATTGTAGATCTCTGCTACTTGGCTGCTCAGATCATCGTGTACTCACGTTGAAGCACAGTTTGAGCAAGTAAAAATAGAATAAATATTGTATTAATCATTTTACTCTTCTCTGACGTTAATCATTTTATCTTACCATGAACAACAAGGTTGAAATCTTGCTCAAAGATTCCCTCAGGAGTATCTGCAGTGCATCTGTACAAACCACTGTCACTCACAGCTACGTTATGCAGTCTAAGAACATTGCCATACTCTTGAGCATTCTCTGGCAGGTTTGGATGATTGGGTCTGGACCAATGGTAACGTGGATTGCGGGTTCCAGAACAAGCACATCTTATATCGATGGTATCCCCTATGTTGACTGGGTCTTGTGAGACCTCCACGCTGACTGCTGGTGTCACAGAAGCTAGAATAAAAAATGTTACAATCAGAATACACGAAACACGGTTCATATTTCGAAGACGCGCAAACGTGGACCCTTCTCTATTACCGCCTCCTATTTGATACTTGAGCTGGGGAGCAGACTATGCTAGCTGACAAATACAGGTCTTGGAGCTATGTAACTATGTTTCAGACTCTTTTATTATCATCTTGGCACAGATAGTACTCTAGTTACCAAAAGTTAACAACATGCCAGGGTAATGGGCTAAAAGTTAACAACATGCCAGGGTATGCACTATAGTAAAAGGGATTGATTAATAACAGGAAAAGCTTAGTTAATTCGTTTCAACAACGAGACGTCAAACTGGGCAGGGAAGAACACATAGTTTTTTGTTGTTCCTTTTTCCTTATGATCTGAACAAACCGCGTCGTTGCTGAAGATTGTGACGGTTTTCAGGCGTCTTGTAGTAGTAGCCGACGAAATCGTAGTTGCAATAGGGATTCTCGAGAAAGCATCCTCTTATGCCACATATGCACCTGTTTTCTTCGCATTGCGTTAGGTTCACTCGCGTGCAATCCGTGCGCGACATAACTACCGTGGAAACAACCGCGATAATCAATAAATAAATAAAACTCTCTGCTTCATCCAGTAATGATCTGATGATAATGATGATGATAATCTTTGAACTAAACATTTCAAAACTCCATGCAGAGGAACAATTCTAATGTATCTGTATTCTTAATGAAAGAGTTTACAAAAACGCACGCAAGCATAAGTGTCAAGCAGGAATAGCAACTTACGCGAGACGCTCAGGTTAATATAGTCACTGGAAACACCATGAGCTGTCTGGATTTGACAAATATATCTTCCACTATCTTCTGGTCTAGCTCTTGGCAATTCTAGATAATCATCTTCTTTTCTGGCAGTTGGTGGCAATGATTGACTCTCTCTGGACCAGTTTATGGTGGCTTTTTCCCTGACTACGCAACGTAAGCGCACAGGTTGTCCAGCATACGCGACAACGTCCCTCTCAGTAGCTCTGACGTCCACGTCGTCGTAATGGTGCTCCGCAACTGCATCATACAGCATTAATACAAATATAACGATTTAAATTGAAGCTTACGATGTTGCATACCGTTCACCAGGACTTCAGCTACGGCCTCAGCGGTTCCTGCTTCGTTGGTAGCCTTGCAGAGGTACTTTCCAGCATCTGAGTAGGTGATTCCATGAAACTGAAGGACTCCACGATTATCAGAAACAGAATAAGGCAAGCTGCGCCCTATAGCTGCCCATTCTATGTTCATTGGCTCGTCCCCTGTGGTTCTACAGACTATCGATGGATTTTCTCCCGCACGAACTGTCTGTCTGGGTGGAATTAGCACGATCCTAGGTGGTGCTGAAGTAATATTCATCGTGCAAATAAGGAATTGTGTATGCAAAAGGAATTGTGTATTATCCACTAACTGATGATCTTACATAATACTACTAGGCGAGATTTTGCTTTGAAGAGAGGACTGCCAGCTTGATCCATGCCAGAGCAAACGTACTCTCCGGCAGCGCTTTTTTCAACTTCTGGTATAATTAAAACACCATTGTGAACCGTGCTACCCTCTGGCAAGGGCTTATGGTCCGTCCTCTTCCAATCCAGGTAAATATGATTGCCATCGTAGGCATGCACGCTGCAATGTATCTCCACTCTGCCGCCATTTGGGATCCTGAGATAGTCCATGGGAATACTATCATCCTGGAATGAAGATCAATCGTTTAGTGATCAATGTATTCTAATTTTATACGACATTGACCCTTCACGAACACGTACAGACACGGGGTCAGTGCAGGGTGTATTGCCTCTGCAAGGCGGGTAAATCTCATTATCCTCCACTCTGATGTAGACGCTTTCTTCGACGAATCCAGCGGCATTCTTCGCGTGGCAGCTGTAAGAACCTTCGTGGTCAGGTGAGACGGAATGTATCTCGTAGACAGCGCTTTGTGGTAGAGATATTAATTCGTGGTTACTGAAGAAGGAGAGAGAGAAAAGAAATTGAACAGTTATCCAACTATTTAATACTGCAAATACTATCGTTTATCCCTTCAGCAGCAACTTACAATGATACCACGTTCACGTGCTTACTCCAGGCAACAGAAGGCTGTGGATACCCGCTGGCGTTGCAGGTCAGGCGCACTGAATCGCCAGGTTTCACCGTCAGGGTGCCAGCTTGCGGGGTAATCATGATTATTGGCAGAGATTGCACCTCTATGTACACCACCGCGGAGTTAGAGCCCACAGAATTGACAGCGGAGCAGACGTAGGCGCCACGGTCATTGGCTGTGACGTTAGACAGTCTGAGCACGCCTCCAGGAAGCTGTTTGACGTTAAAGGGAAATGGTCTGCCATCTTGGTGAGCCCAGTAGAGCTCTGGCGTAGGAATGCCCGCCACTGCGCGGCACTGTAGATCCGTAGAACCTCCCAGAGTCACTGGAGGCACGTCTTTAGGGTAGATCTCTACTTGGGGTGTTTCTCTGGCTATCGAATGAACAGAAAAACCACTCTAAACACTGTCAGATAAGTAAAAGTCTTCTGAACTTGTTCTCTAACTCACGTTCGACCTCGATGATGGCGCTAGCTTCATGGCTACGCCCTGCTCCTGTCACTCGACACACGTACACACCCCTATCAGCGATCTGGATGTTGACGATTCTCAGAGTATTGCCTATCTGTTGCACGTTAGGACTCATCTCCCCTGGATACTTATTCCAACTAATTTCCGGAGCCGACTCTCCGCTTGTGACGCACCTTACTTCAGCTGTACTGCCTTGTGGCACTGTCTGCTTCTCAGGCTGCGTGATGATAGTGGGTGGAGGTCTGTGTAGCACTGTGATGTTGATCGTGCTGCTGGTTACTGTTCCAACCAAGCTGCTGGCCGTGCAGACATATATGCCTGAGTCATATGGAGTTGGATTTCTTATATTTAGCACTCCATTGCGTTGGCTGGCTCTGTGAGGCAATTGAAGGCTATCCTGACGAGTCCAGGTGACGTTGATGGGCTGTGATGGAATGCAGGTAATGGTGATAGTTTCTCCAGCTACTCCTATCCACTCTGGTGGAATAATGATGGGTGGTATTCCTTGTGTTACTGGTACATTTCTATTGTCTGTAAATATAGACAATGTTTCTGTGAAAATATTCAATTATTCAGCATTGATTTGCGTCACTATATACATACCCAGGACGTAGAGAATGACTGTTTTCTCATCCATACCGACGTTATTCCTCCCTACGCACTTGTACTTGGCAGCGTCGCTCTTAGAAACTGCCCTGAGGTTCCACACACCATTGTAGACGGTCGCTTCTGGATTCATTGGACCATGAACGCGAATCCATTCGATATGCGGTGGTGGATTCCCGCTGGCCTCGCACCGGAACTTGGCTTGTTCTCCTTCCAACACTTGCAAGCTTGGTGGCGTCACGATTATCCTTGGCGGTGTTGAATGCACACCTTTGAAAATTATCCAAAGTTAGATATCAAAATTGTCGAATGAATTTTGGAATGTTGTTTCAACATGTACCTGGGATTTCTAGTAAGCTTTGAGGAAAAGCTGCATCCACGTGAAACATATGGTGCACATAGTTTTAAGTTTAATGAACATTTATCATAGATTAAATAGAATTCTTATTCCCTTACCTCCAACGGTCAGAGTGACGTTCTTGAAGGCGACGTGTACACCGTCGCTCACTTGACACACATAAATTCCGCTGTCAGACACTTTCACGTCTCGAATGATCAACAAACCGTGGTTGTCGTACACGCTTCTTCCTGGTGGTAACTGACCGCCCTCTTTCTCCCATTTAATGTGCAGAGATCCCTACGTTTACATTTAAAAAATACTCAGCACAATCTATACATCACTTTAAAATATCCATTTCTATCACTTACGTTATCTAAAGATCTTCCAGAGCAATGATACCTAACAGTGCCCCCAGTCTCGATGATTTGGAGCTCAGGTCCTTCGATGTACACCACGATCGTAGGTCGACGATTTGTTGGATGTGGTGTCGTGGTGATAGATAGGTTTGTATCTTCTGTAAGAAGTACCACGAAAATTAGAGGGAAAAAAGGTGCAAAGGCTCATTACACATAAAAGTGGTACATAAAACAGCTGCCCAAATCCATGTTTCTACACTATGAAGCTCCTTGTGAGACCAAGAGAGTATTGTGTTCGGATGACAGAAGATTTACCAAGCAGTGAACACTTGGTTGAACAGGCGTGACTATAGTTTGATGATGGAGACACAAATGAGAGTGAAACCTATACACCTCCCAGGTGATGGACAAACACACGAATATTCCTGTGATCTGGCCAACCTGCTGTGACAGACGTTATAACCTTGACCAGCACGGTTCCATTATGATTCTGAATGTGGCATTCGACGTTGAACGGATCCTGGCGGATGTAAATGTACCAGGACCTCATCGCGCCCTTCTTAGTTCTTTCTATAGGTCCTGGTTTGGCGCAACTCGCGGTTAAAGGCTTGTCATCGAAGGAAGTGAGATTAAACGAGATATAGAACGGTTCCATGGATTCGTAGCTGCACGTGAATATGACCCACGAGTTCGCTTTCACCACGGGATTCATTGGCATTAGACTTACCATCAGATCACCTAACCGTTCAAAATATTTATTCTTGTGCCCTATTCTCTAGGTCTTATCATAAGTTCTATATTGTATTCTATGGCGTGTACCATACGTACCAGTGTCCTGACAGTACTGGCCCACGTATCCAGGCAGACAGTGACACTTCACTTGACCACTACGTGTCAGTACACAGCTCTCCTCGTTGTTGTTGCAAGGACATAGGTTGCAGGTACCCAGGTAGCTTGCTGACCGGTCACTAGTATCCCTATAATAGCCTCTAGCGCAAGATTCGCAGGATGTGCCAATGTAACCCGTTGGACAACGACAGACCTCCACTTGGACAGCTCTTCTGTTGCCTGTCTGATGATCCACAGCTGTGTCTAGGCTTATATCGCTGATATAAGTGGCTGTCATTCGCTCACTGTGCGTTGCACGGACCAGAATTGCTTCTAGGTTAGAGAGCACTGTCATCATGTCGATCCTAGAAGCCACTCGAGGCCCCTCCATGGTCAAACGTTTCCATTCGAATTCTCTGAGTGGTACTGAGTAGGACTACAGCAAAAACAGTCACGTGAAAATATGACGTAAGTGGTGAATTATGATGTTCTGGTACCAACCAATGGGATATCAGGCTGGATATCGATAGGATTCGTCCAAAACAGTGTAATTCCATTTCCAATTAGTATAATATCCTGATCTTTGTAACTTTGGGCTCCAGGGTATGCGGTGATATGTTGCGTGAGCGTCAGATTGCCACCATAGCTCTTCACCTGGTTACCGGTGAATATTGCGGGCAGAGACCAAAACAGCCTGCGTCCCCGACTGTCTGGATAACGATAGCCTAATTCGTTCATGGCGATGTTCAGCTCGAAACCATCGTCAATGATCTCAATCCTCGTCCTATCGAGTGCAAATTTCATCAATACTGTTCCAGATATTGTATTCTCTAGATCAGAAAGGGAACGGGTACTCACGAGTCCGTTAAAGTGAATCCGTGCTTGTTGTCGTAGACCCAGACAGGTATCTGTTGTACATATAGCGAACTCTCGTGACACTGAGTGGTCACACCGCTGCAATAGCACTCGCTACACCCGGCAGGGTTGTCTGCGGAGAGACCAAACGTGCCTGGACGACATCTATTGCATTCAGGACCGTCTACGTTTCGTTTGCAATCGCATCTGTCCTCTATGCACAGACCAGTTCGCGAGCCAGCCTCATCACAGACGCAAGTACGATTGTCGCCTGTGAATACACAGTCGTGAGGACTTCCTCGAGTCGTGTCACCCTGGTATCCTCGCTCACACAATTCGCAGTACTCCCCAGTGGTATGATGAGCACAATTCTGAAACAGTCGAGGCGAAAATAAAACGCTTGAACCAAGAAACACAAACTTTATAAACGCTTCTCTGCTTACTTCGCACGTTCCAGTATCAGGATTACACTGGCTAGAGTGGCCATTACAGAAGCAAGGTTTGCACAAGCCTAGATAGAGACCCTCGCTAGCTCTGGTGAATCCAACGTCACAATCCTCGCATGATAATCCTTTGTAACCCACTGGACAATTGCATTCTTCCACTTCTACAGCTCTAGATAGTCCTGTGTTATATTTCTCAGCTGTGTCGAGGGATACTAGTGACAACGCTGTCTCATCTGTATGCGTAGTGTACGTGGCCTTGATTCTAATAGCACGAATATCAGCCAGAGCCATTAATAAATGCTCTCTGTCAGCTTGTGTTCCATCGTTGCGTTGCCAATATTGCTCCAAGAGAGGAACAATGAAGGTTTGTCGAGAGTTTGGCTCAGGAGACTCGCGGGAAAAGTACAACAGATTGATGTCGTTTGCCTGTGCAGTGAAACAAATATACATGAATTAAGTGATTATTTCGAGATTCGGTTCACGAATATACGTGATGTCTACCTAATTAGTAATAAATATAAGCTAGCGCATCAGAATAAAGTTAGCAATTAAGGGAATATTCTGATTTTTCTTCTCTTCACTGGAAATTAATCACAATGCCACAAATCTACTAACGCTGATCAGTTCCACGTCAGCAGCGTTGTTCTTGGAGCTTTGGCCACCAGGTGCAGGCACGTAGCGGACAGTGTATTTGAGGTTTCCTCCGTAAGAGGTGACCCGGTTGCCCAGAAAAATGCTGGGCAGCTGCCAGTAGTAGACATCGTTGTTTCCACGGTTTAAGAATTCATTGTAAAGGATCTCACGGGCCACCTGATCCACAATGATTTCTTTTACGATCGGTGGCGCATCTGATGTCTTGGATTCGATCAAGTGGAAGCCTCTGGCAGAGTTGGTGAAGGAGACTGCAATCTACAATCCGATGAATCTTCAATGTAGATATTAATGGCTACTTTGGTGTAATTTCATGTACTTACCTCGCTTCTATACCAGTTGGAGGAGACACATTTTTCGGTGATGCCCATGCAGAAGCAGCCGATGCAGCCGAATTGATTTTTCGACGACGGATTAAACGTATTCGCCTTACATTGGTTACAAGTCAGCCCCGTCGTGTATTGCTGGAAAATCAAGATCGTTTAAATCATATGCACCAACGTTTCATTTTTCAGACGTTCATATTACGACCATCTATCTTGAATTGTACTCACTTCCCAGCAATTAGGAATATTTCCAAGGTTAAGCGTTAAGAGTGGTGAAACACGTTGTACAAACTTATTCAGTATACAAAAACAGTTTTCTACTTTTTTTTAAACGAAAGTTTGATACCTTGCATCGACATTTTCCGGTAATGGGATCAGCAACTGAGCTCAGACTGCCATCAGGATCGCATTGCGGTGTAGGAATGCACATATCCCCTGGGATAAGGGGATTTCCTTGGTAGCCGTGGTCACACTGTTCACATCTGCGACCCACGTAGCCTGGTGGACAATCACAGGTTGGATAGCCATCGGATGCAAGGTGACAAGTGCGTGCAAATCTGTTTCAAATTAGTCAAAGTTGTAGGTGGATCTTTTCAGAGCAAATTTCTGATAGCAAGTAGTGTTATCTCACTGATTGGAAGGATTGGTAAGTGGACAGGGGCATGTCTGGCAAGGGATGTTCCTCGTAGGATCTCCATAGTATCCTGGAGGACATGGTGGTTCGTCTCTGTAGCACTGACCAAGCCAGGCTCCGGTTTCTCTCCTCAGGTAACCTGGGGCACATTCCTCGCACGATAGACCAGTGTATCCTGAAGAATCATCACGTTCCAATGAATATTTTGGGACAGAATTGACATAACATCAGGTTAAACTAGAACTGACCTGAAGGACACTGGCATTCCTCTACATAGGATGCTGATCCAAGTCCAGTATTCCTCACGTCAGCAGTGTCCATGACTATATGAGTAATCCGGGCGTCCAAAAACGGAGAAGAATCGTACTGTGCCCTGGTTAACAATTTAATCCATCATTATTCGTTCAGTGAGATTCGTTCAGTGGATAAGCATACTTAATCAAAATATTCTGCACATTGGCGAGAGTCATCATGATTTCCTGTCTGGTGGCAGGAACGGCTTCGTTCATGCCTTGCTGCTTGTACCACTCTCCATCGAAAAACCTGACAGACTCCTCATGGTCATAATGCGGTATCAATTGTTTCCCTCTGTGAGATAGGACATATTTGTTTCCCATCATAACGACAGAAGGCGCTAAGTTCTGCACACCAGTGCCATTGTAGCGTACTCTGTACTTCAGGTAGCCACCGTAGGAATTCAACTGGTTACCATGATAGTCCTCAGGCAGGGGAAAGTAAGCAATATTTCTGTCGTTCAACAGTTCCGTATACAGCGCCTGTCCATACAACTGTACACCGTCGCGGCCTACAGAGTTTAGGTTCTGAATATGCCTGCTGATATCTTCTACCTGTTCACTGCCCAAGTGCTTTAAAGATAGGATTTTAGGTCGATCGAAAGGTCGTGGGATCTGATAGGTGAAGAGATTCGCGCTTTTACACTCTGTGGCCACGCCGAAGCAGAAGCAAGCGATGCACTCGTCTACGCTTCTCGCCTCAGAGTTGAACGTCCCTTTGGGACAAGGGTCTCCATGTGTGTTCACCATGACAATCGCGTCTGGGATGGCGAATACAAAACCAGAGCTGTTCAACGCCTCGCAGGAGTAAGCTCCTTGGTCTTCTGGCTGAATATCAGGACAAGTGAGAATTCCAACGCCATCGACCGATGTCATGGTGCACTTGGAGGGAACATGGCGCCAGTTCAGACGCCAACTGATCTCGGGAGTGGGCACACCGATGGCTGTGCACGTAATTATCAGAACCTCCCCTATTTCTAGTGTTAACATCGGTTCAGGAGGCTTTACTATGTACACAGGAGCTGAGAAATGGGAAATAGACATTTAATAGGGTTAGGTTAGAATTACATTTACAAGGGACGTTATCGAACCGTCAAACACAGATTTTAATGAAGTTCATATGATGTATAGTTTTGGAAAAAAGATATTCGACACGTATTCTTTTTTATCGATAATGATCCACGTTGAAAAAGTGAAAACAGTCCTTAAAGTTTCGTATTCAATATTTTTTCGAGAACTAAATCAAGTGAGAGTTCGATGACCTCCCTAATGATTCCTAATGTCAGCACAAAACACCTACAACATCCTATCTCGTCACTGCCGTCCTGACAGTCTTTTTCTTGATCACACTGGAAGGTTTTGGGTATACACTGGTCATTGCTGGCGCATGCAAACTCAGTGATGCGACATGAAGAGTCTGGCAAGCTTCCATCACAATTCTCCTCGTCACTGCCGTCAGCACAGTCGTTGTCACCGTCACAGCGCCACACTTTACCAACACACTGGGTATTGTTGCAGCGGAATTCATTTGGTTCACAGCCGTGTGGACCTGTGTTAGATTCAATGGAGCTTTCAGTGAGGAAGGAAGTATTTAATCGTTAATTACAGAAAGAGACTTACTGCAACGCATTTCATCGGAGCCATCGGTACAATCCACTCTGCCGTTGCACACATGAGATTTGGGAATGCAATCGCCATTGCCGCAGGTGGCCTCGTCGTACTGGCATATATGGGGCTTGATCGTCGATGGTGGTTCAACTGGTGTGCATTGCAAGCAACGAATTGTTTTAGATAATAACTGACAGGCTTCTTGAACTGTACAGTCGATAGAATTGATATAGCGAAATCATAAAATAATTTAAGCATTAAAGTATAGCTTGACCAAGCAAAGGTGAAACTTCTGGGAGAATTTAGGGTCAGAAAGTAGTAAGAGATAAAGGAAAACTTGTAACATCTTCGATTTTAATTAGCTAGTCACGATAGAATAAGACTATCGCATTTATACTCCCATGAACAACGATAGGCGACAATCGAGCTTCGCGATATTACCGACGGTTGATTGAAAACCAGATTATAAGTAGAAATTATAAGTAGAAATTCTAAATATCAATTTTAAATATCAGGCAACATCGATCGATGTCGCTTAATGTTTTAATTTACGATCTCACCGTATCAGTTCCACCAACTGTATTTTGTTCTAAAGGCTAAATGTGTTGGCCGGTCAAAGTCAGTTTAAGTAGTGGTTTGAGAAATGGCAATAGGCTTACAGCGGGCACTTCTATACTTTTTGGCGTACATATCTATTACTATAAAGTGATCTTTTACCATAAAGAATAATTTATGTGTGTCTGTATGCATGACGTGACAGTGGACCGTTAAAAGATTGTATGCGATAACTACAATCCTTCCAACGGCGTTGTAGTAAAGGTTTACCCCC